GAGTCTCTTTTCCTTACAATGTGCTGTCTGGTGCTCCAAAGTCCAGGCAGTTGTGAGTCAGATGGCACCCAGCGGGGACTTTGTCCATCCATGTGTCAGGTCATAATCAGCTGTCAGGATGACCGCGCAGTTCAGTAGCTGCTTATCAGAGGAAGTGCTTGTCTAGGCCAAAAGATTAGTCACACCCAAGCTGTTATCTGAAGAGCTGTTGCAATGACATATCTTCATAGGGGACGTCCAACACAGCACCTCTACTCCAAATCCTTTGTAAAGCTGGATTTGGAAACAGAATGGTTTAAAAAAACAAAAACCCGACAACAACAACAACAAAACCTTTGTGTGTTTGCTGTGGTATAGTTTCTGTTTCCCAGCACTGTCAGGGAATGGGAGGGTTTGTTTTAAGCTTCCTTTCCAGATTGTGAGTGAAGGCGAGAGGACATGCCAGCCAGAATCTCCTCTGCTTGACAGACTAACTGTTTTCTGTCAGAACTGCAGTACTTTAGAAGAGAAGCTGGGAAACGCTGTGCCAGTTTCCAGGTCACATGTCTAATGCTTGATCCACTGTCATACTGTTACTGAAAGAGTTTCTCAGTAATTAAATGTAGGGCTGCAACAATTCATCAATTAATTCAAATAATTCGATAATAAAAAAAATGCTCCACACAAATTCTTTGCTTCGATGCTTCCTTTGTGTTTCACCCACGACAAAAAACAGACCTGCAATACAAACGTATTTAGGAGCATCGTATGAATAAAACATTTGACAACATTAAGCCCACTGAGATGGTGAGCTCCGGTTGAGTGAAAGCAAACATGTTTCTAGCGTTGAGAACAGCAGAAACTACAGCAAGGCGGGTTCAGTTTATTATGAATCTAATAATAGTGTCATTATTTTAATACACCAGTAGGTTGATAACATCAAGATCACATTCATTGTCATCTAGATTTATACTAGATGATAAAAGCAGTGCAGCTCCAACACAAGAAACGAGTTTATGCTTGAGAAAAAGAATTGTTGGTACTAACAAAGCAGGAGATGAATACACAAAGTTACAATAGTGTTATGAAATGCCAAGAAATGAAGTGAGAATCAAGAAATTCAAAGAGAACAGGCCTGGCAGAGGCAGGAAGCAAAAGATTCCAAAGACACTGGGAACAAACTAGCAAGAATTCCAAAACAGAAGTGAATGATTGGGCAAGTTGGGAATTCTAGTCTCAAAGAAGACGACCACTACAACACTGAACAAGAATGGACAGCGAGGTCGTAGACCAAGAAAAACACCACTTTTGCAGGCGAGACACCATCAAGACGGAGGACAACGTGGACAAAGATTATCCATACAGGAACTGCATCCTTTTGTTTGATGAAACTAGAGCTCTTTGGACATTGAGACGCTTTTTTGGAGAAAGAAGGGAGTGGCGTGCATCCCAAAGAAACATTCTTCAAGTATATCTGGAACCAGGAATCCAATCAAAGTGGAAGGAATCGTGAATCTCTGTCAAAATCTGTGGGGTGAACTGAAGGTCCAGCTTGAGAGACTCACTCTTTCACAAAAACACTTTTTTCTATGTTTAAGTGCTTTCTATCCAATATTCACCCTGA